TGTGTCCTCCGCAGGGAACAGCGCCCGATGCCCGAATCACATCAGGCATCGCGTCAAGCGATTGCTCGGTCAAATGCTGCGGTGTCGCGTGCTGAGGTTTGCATGGGTCCAGAACGGTGTAAGAGTTCCTAGTGAAAATCGGATGCTCGGTTTCTGCTACATGCCATGCCATGTTCCCAGCCGCGCCACGTGGAGGCACCTACTTTGAGCACTAGCGGCTAGCTTTTTCCCACGCCCGAGCACACCAGCAACCCCGTGGTGCCCCTGGTGCCATGCCCAGCAAGTCGGGCAAGACCGTGGCGCTCATCTGCCTCATTCTGGAGCAGTGTCAAGGCGTCTTCGAAAAGGATCTACGTCTTCAGCCCGAGCGTTAACATCGACGACGGCTGGATCCCCGTCAAGAAGTACATCGAGGAGGACTTGGGGGTGAACACGGAGCGCGTGCAGGCCTACTGGGACGAGTGGGACAAGGCGGCGCGCGCCGCAGCGTAAGATCGCCGAGGCGTCTAAGAAGTTGGAGATGAAGAAGCTGCGCCAGATCCTGATAATAAGCGACGACATGGCCGATGTGCCGCAGCTCCACAAGCCCCACGGCGCCCTTGACACGCTCTTCATCCGAGGCCGTCGCATGCAGATTGGCACCTGGGTGAGCTCCCAGAAGCTGAGGCTCATCAGCGCTGCCGTGCGGGATGCAATTCTCTGCTGCTGGAGGCTGCGCAACCAGCACGCGTGCTTGCCTTGAGGCTCACAGAATCATCTGCGTGGCCTTTCCCTGATGCCGCGTGTCAGGTTGCCTTGCTCCAAGCGTGCGGCCTTTTGAGCTTTGTGGGATCAACCCGCATTTGCTTTCCCATGACACCTCGGGTCAGGTTACCTTGGTCCGCCAAGAAGAAGGCCATGCACCGCGCGTGCGCCTTGAGGCTCAGTGAGAACATTCTCCATCGCCTTTCCCTGACACCGCGTGTTAGGTTGCCTTGGTCCGCCAGGAAGTTTTTTCAACTTTCAGCCTTGTGCTTCCAAGCTCGTAAGTGCTGCCACTCACACGTCAGCCATCGCCCTGCCTTCAGCCATGGAGCAAGAGGAGACACTTGACGCCATCCACGCGACCATCGCCAGAAGTTATCTAGATTTAGAAGTGATGCTGGACGAGCTGTGCTGCATTCTTGCACGCATTCGATTCTTGTGCAGTGTCATTGCCATATGCCCTATCGCCATTGTATTCTGTGAGGGCCTTCGGTTTCTCACAGGCATTTGGGATACAGCCCTACTCTTCGTAGCCTTGCTGCCTTGAGGAGTCATGGCACATGAATTTTTCTGCACAGCCCTGGTGAGCAGTCGCAAAACAGTACCCCAGCCAATTGCTTGCTTGTGCACGGTCACGGCACACCCATTCGTTGCGTTAATCAATTGGAGCCAGGTCGTACGCCTCTAGCCAGGCCAGCCAGCCTGCGGCCTCAGCCGCAAACATGCAGTCAGAACCCTTGGCCCTCTTTATAAGCGACCTCGCAGGCATAAGAGCCTTACCTAGAGGTATTGCCCTGCTCTGTGTTGCGCCAGCAATGGATTAGCTTGCTTGTCCCGTGGATTGGAAACTTCTTTGAAAAACCACGCAGTCTTGCCTTGCTGAACCGCCTTCGCATCTACATCGACGACATTCTCATGCGGACAGGCCTCCACACAGGCTCATTGCACTTCGGCCATCTTCTATCACTGTGTGCATTCACCACTGCCTTCGCAAATTTGAGCCATGATTTCACACAGGAAGCTTGGACATTTTGCGGCCAGAGGCCTTATGGCAGCCGTTTCCGACCGAGCCTTTCGCAATTGTGCTTTACACCAGCATTTCCATGAACAGGCCGAGACAGTTTTGGTCCAGCTCACCAACGCTTTCCCGGAGCCTCGCGTTTCGAGCCTTTTGCATTCTGCTCGCTGCCTTTTCAGCCGTTTCCTTCCAGCGCTGAGGCCACCCGACCTGACCCAGAGGAGACAGTGGACCTTATCTCTCAACACGTGCTGCCGTTTCACTTGCACACTGTAGTCCAACTCATGCCCGCGCCGCACACGAAACTGGTCAGCAGCCTTAGATTTGCACTCGCAATGCCCGACACGAGGCTGGCTCTTCTGCCTGGCCTGTGTTACCAAGTGACCTATTGTTTGCCTAACATTGGCGACTCTGCTATGCTTATGACCAACAGCTTTGTGTTCAAGAAAATCACGCATTTTCTATCCCCCCCTGCTTTGCAATGCCTGAGCCGCCTTTACAGCCTTCGTTGCAAATTTCCAGCAAATGACAGCCAAGAATCAGCAGCGGCTAGCTGAAGGCATCGCTGCCTTGGCCCGTCAACAGCCGCCCTCCTTGCCTTCGACGCGCTCAGCGCAAGCCGAAGAGCCGGAGACCGCACAGCCGTCCGCGGACACACAGCCTTTGCATGAGCCTTCCCCAGTCACACCGGCCGAGGAAGAACCATCAGACCCGCCTCCACCACTCGATCTTTTTGGCGCGCTCAGGGTGGATTTTCTGTCACGGCCTTTGTCGCCTGCCACAGAGCCCCCGGGCGGACTCCTTGGCCCCCAACTCACCTCGCCCTGAGCGAGAGGAGGATTTGCCAGACTCAGGCCAGCATGCCGGTGATGGCAATCCGAAAGAGCCTTCCGAGCCTTCCACAGACGAGGAGATGCCTTTGGCGCAGAAGAAGAACCTAGCATTGCGCCTGCTCCGAAGGCCATGCCCAAGGCCACGTTCGAAGCAGCACTCATCGCAGCCAGCGCCGGATGCGCCTTCCGAATCGGAGACCGGGCCAACGGCAGATCTGCCCTCGCCGTCGCCCTCCACCAGCCCGGTGGAAGAGCCGCCCTGCAAATGGCCGCCTTGCCCTGGCTCGCGCTTCCACGAGCCGCTGCCGGACATCGGACAGGAGGGTTGGAGTTGGGATGGAAGGTTTAACTAGTACAGCCTTCCAGGCCAGAAGCCGCCTTTGGGAGCCACGCGCATAAGCCCTGGGCCACAACAAGCGCGTCGCATGGCAAACGCCCTCGATGCCTTGGCCGCACGTGCCCACGCCTTCCCAGCACAGCGACCATCGGTCCCGCCCTTCGCCTTCCCTGCACTTGCCGTACGGCGCGCAATGGGGAGTTGGCCAGGTGTTACTACATGGACGACCAACGCAGGCTGTGCTGCGCCCTGCCTTGCGCTACTCGCCATTGCCCTTATAATTCGGCATGCGGCCGCCTTATCGACGTGAGCAGGTCCCTCAGCGACGACTTGCACTCCGCGCACTACTGCAGCAGGTGCTACGAGCGCCATGAGCGCTACTAGCACTTCAAGTGCTGCCTTTAGCCTTGTTTGCCTTCAGCCGTGCCCGCCCCAGGCGCGAACTTGCATTTCTTGCCCTTGTTAAAGTTCTAACAATTGATGGCGGGTTCCTGTTTTGCCGACAGCCGTTTGCCCATTTGATCAAGCTGGCTCTCTGGCTCATAAGGACAAGCTTAACACCATCCTCACCGATGCTCGAGTGCCAGAAGGCCTTCGCGATTTGGTACGTCACTGCCTCGTCGGCACAGCCTTGCGCTGCACGCTCCGTGCATGGCCAGAGCCGCCGCAGTGCCGGGCCAGCGCAGCAAGACCACACAGCCAGCGCATCTCAGCGCACAAAACTCGCAGTCCTGGTTTCGTTTGAAACCCACCCACCCAACCCTTCTAAGCCCTGATACTTAGGCTTTCCGGCACCCTCCAACGCTTTGGAGTTCACCGGACAAGAACTGGGAGCGCCTTTATCGGGGCCCAGACCCGCGGTCTGGCCCTGTTTGCGTCTTTGGGCCCGGGCCGCATGCCGCGCCTTCATTTGGCACTTTTAAGCAAGGACACGCATGTCTTGCGATCTGTTTCACAGGGGAGGAATATCTTGCCCCTTGTCCTAGGTGCACCGCAGTGCCCTAGGAAAGCGCCACCTGCCCAAGCAACCCGGTAAAAAAGGTGTGCGCCTTGCAGTCGGCTTTTGGTTCTGGGTTATTGGTGATTTGAGGCTAGGAGCAGTGCGCGGGACCTTTAACGATGGGCTTCCCCTCGCGCCTCAGGGGCGCCGACTTGGCGCCCTTGGGGCTCGTCTGTACCTCGCCCAGGGCCGACGCTTTGGTCGGACCATTTTTTTACACTCGCTCTAAAAAAGGAAAGGACCGGCAAGCAAAGTCAAGATGACTACCATCGCCACTAGCGTCGCCCTCGACTCAAGCGGCTCGAGGGCCGCCATTTCCGGAAAAAAAACACGTTTTTGTCTGTTTTTCCGTAAATTCAGTTCTGCATGGTTTTTGAGCGTGATTTTGCATGACAGGTTGCCGGTGTTGCGTTTTTCTCACGATTTTCACGTTGTCGGTCGTGTTTGGAAAGAGCTTGCCCAAGCACGTGTGCCTTGTGAAGGCGAGATTCGGGGACACTCTGGGGTCCGGGGCGGCAGGGAACCGCTCGCGGGTGCAAAGGCGTGGTTTCAGACTCACAGTTTTTCTTGACCTCACGTGCCCTGTGCCCAGACTTCGACGTGCAGATCTGCCTTTTTGTCACTTTTTGTTGGCCGCTTGCAGGTGGATCCAATTCGTGCTACTGGGGACTCTTTAGCTGGGCACCTGTGCGGATTGGTGTCAACTCGGCCTTTGAGCAGTGTTTCAGGTTTGGTCCTGGATTTTGAAGGTCGTGTTTTCGCGCTTCCCCGTGCCAGGCTTTGTTTTGACATCGAGGCATACTGCCCGGCCTTCGCTGCTTCCGTTGTCATGGCCATTAATGCCAACTGATCTTTGAGGTTTGGGTCCCAACTTGCCAATCTGTCAGGCCCCCTGATCTTTGGCCTAGCGAGGCCCGGACACCCCCCCCGTCCCGTGCCAGGATTTGCGCGACTCGAAGACGTTCTGCCTGGGACTTTTTGCTGATTGCGCCGTCAGTGTTGATGCGCGGATTTCAACTGAGCTTTCAGGGTTGGGCCCAACCTTGACTCTTTGACCCGGTGAGGCCCGAGTGGTTTGCGTTGTTTTTTTGTGTGCTTTTCCCAACCCCGTCAAGCCGCGCCGTCAGGCCCCTTTGGAAATCGTGACCTCGTTGAGCCAGGCCCGCATTTTGTATTGTCTCTCCAACCTGGTGAACCCTTGACCTTGAGAGCGATTGCCCCAACCCCGTCAAGTCGTACTGTCAGGTTTTTTGTAAGTCAGGCAGTGTGGTTTCCTCAAAATCGCTTTTTTTTCCTGGCGCTCAGGCACTCCGAACTTTTGAGCTTGCGCCTCGAGCTCCACGTTCCGCCCGGGCCCTCGCCGCGTTCCATTGTCATGGCCAAGAGGTCCCGTGCAGGTTATTGTCATTTGATCTTTGTCACCAATCTGTCAGCCTCCTTGATCTTTGACCCAGTGAGGCCCTGACGGTCCGTCCCGAGGGTCCCTGGGGTCCCTAGGGTCCCTGGGGTCCCTGGGGTCCCTGGGTCCCTGGGCACGCGTGCGTCCGCTGCAGGTGCCATGAAACAACGTCCTTCCATCAAGACGTCTCGCCAGGGTCCCAAAGTGCATCCATCCTTGTCAACACACGGCGTTTTCAGGGATTTTAGGGACCCCAGAAACCTTACGGACCCTAGGGACCTTAGGGACCCTAAGGGACCTTAGGGACCCCAGGGACCTTAGGGACCCCAGCAACCCTGGGTCTTGGGGGCAAGAGATCCTGTGAAGTGTGAAGTCATCTCTCAAGCTTCGGTTGGTTGCAGCTTGCCACGCAAGGGGACACAAAAACGCGCGGAAGGGCAAAGCTTCTGTTGTTTTTCCATTCGAGCAACTTTCCATACATCTATTTATCTTCGTGTACTCATATCTATTTATTTTCATACATTTATATCTTCATATCTCTACGTATTTGTATCTCTTTATGAATTTTCATATATTTATATCTTTGTATTTCTACAAATTCATATCTTTATGTCTTTGTATCTTTATACCTTTCTCTTTATATCTTTATATCTTTATGTCTTTGTGCCTTTATGTTGGTATGTCTCTACATGGTGTTTTCTACATCCGTGTTTGTAGTTGGGAGATGATGTTGTGGTGTTGTGGCCCATTTGCAATGTGTGCATGTGTGTGTGTCTTGGCTTCGGCATTTTGTGTTTTTGCATGACCCTATGATGCTGGAGAATGCCCAGGCTGAGTGGTACCCGGCGTGAAGTTCTTGCCAAGATCCCTTCAAGCCCCAAAATCCTTGGGGCCACCAAGGATCTCTTGAAGTCCCTGGGTCGCTGGGTCCCTGAAGTCCTCGGAGTCCCTAGGGTCCCTAGGGTAGGGTTTGCAGGGTTGCTAGGGTCCCTAAGGTCCCTAAGGTCCCTAAGGTCCCTAAGGTCCCTAAGGTCCCTAAGGTCCCTAAGGTCCCTAAGGTCCCCAAGGTCCCTGAACCCGCCGTGCGTTGACAGGGATGAGCGCACTCTGGGGCCTTGGCGAGACGTCTGATGCACACGTGTGCAGGGACCCCAGGGACTCTAGGGACCCTAGGGACCTTAGGGAGCTTAGGGACCCTGGGGAATGTAGGGACCCTAGGGACCCAGGGACCCCAGAGGCCCCAGTGATCCCAGGGACCAGGGACCCCAGAAACCCCCGCCCTTCAGCCCCTGGCGGCCCGGTGCCGATTTCGGCTGCTTGTTTTGCAGGCAGGCCAGTTTGGTATCTCGCTTGGACTTTGATGCAGCGGCAGGATGTGGGTCAGCCAGTCTGACGGATGGACGCTGCGAAGCCTTGCAAGGCTTGGCCCGACCGACCTTCAGGCCGCGAGTGAAAAGGAGGAGAAGCATCCAAACCCGTGCGTTGGTGTTGCCAAAGAAGCCAGTCAATCTTGTGTTTGCTCTGGAAACTTGGCTTGAGGGTACTCATCAACACTGACACAACAACAGCTCGCAATGGTTGCCCGATGGGTCTAGTGCCAGTGCTTGAGGAATCGCAGGCCGCTCAAGCGCTTTTCGAATAGCCATGGCGATGATGCGGACCAGGACCAAAAGCCGAGGCTGGCAAGCTTGTGACGCTACCGTGCCCGCGGTAGGCAGCGGCCAGGTATGTGCCTCTGCCTTCTCGGGATTGCATTGGCGCTGCTCGTGCAGCCGAGCACGGCCTGGGTCTTGGGACACATTTTTTTCGAAGGTTTTCGGGTCAGGAGTCCCTTGTCGCCGCCGCTCGAGGAGTTCCTGGGCTGAAGGAGCATGAAGTCCCTCCTTTGCATGTTCTTGTTTCGTGCTGAGTGCCAGGACAGCATATTGGCCCAGTTCTCAGAGTTGCCCGCAGGCGCAAGCAGATTGCACTTTGGCTCTTTCAGGTGGCAAAACGGCACCCGTTGCATGCCGGAGTCGCTCGGCGCGCCGGGGCTGCGCAAGAGGACTCCTCCGACCCGAAGCCAGTTCGCATCTTTTGCCGGCTGCCGCCAGGACAACAGTGGCCAGGCCTGGGGGACACGTGCATCGGGCTTGAACGTTGGGCTTGTTGGTTGTCAGGACCGGCGCGATCTCGAGGAGGCGGCGGGCCTTCAGAGAAAGCGACGTCCCAGCTTGGAATCGCTCAGGTGGTCGCAGAAGCCGACAGGGTGCTGGAGGACAACGGCACGGTGAAAGAGACCAAAGCCGTCTTGCGCCGCTGGAGCAGCACGTGGGTCGGGGTTGCAAGAGCGGTGAAAGTGTTGAGCTCAGGAAAAGCGCAGAAGATTTATCCAGGGAAGTGGACCCTTTCAGGGCTGAAAGACGAGTTGCAACAAAAACTGCGCGAGTTTGTGGAGGAGGCAGGACTGTTTGCTTCTTTTGCCAAAAGGTGAGTTCACATGTCGTGGCATTCTTTGTGACACAGGCCAAAGCAGCCTCAAAGGGCTTGAAAGAGGCCGTCTGTTTGTGCGCGCTGCTTCGGCGTGTGAGTCTTGCTGGGCAGGACCTGCTCCTGGCGCGACAGCAGCAAGCGAGCGCCCAGCGGCAGGTTGAGACTGCCCAGCAGCAGGTGGAGATGGTGATGAAGAGTCTGGTTAAAGCCGCCAAGGAGTCCAAGGCGGGCGGAGTCGGTCGCTTCCGCCGGCCGGCTGCGTTCTGGGACTCTGATCGTTGCGTGCGGTTCTGAAATTCCCCGCGCGGCCCGCACATGGTTTTGGTGGGGCTGCCCTGATCGCATCCAGAGAACCAGGAAATCCCAAGATAGCATTTTTGCAGATTGCGGCGGTTCGTGTCGTTGGCAGGCTCGGTAGGGACCCCCCATGAACGGATGGTTGCCTTTCCTTGTTGGAGGTCGGTCATTCCTGCCGGTCGACATTGATTGAGACGTGCCGTTGATCGTTGTGAGTGATTTTGTGCTTGCCCCCAGCCTGCTTTTGAAAGAGCAAGACCTGCCCGTCTGCCGGGGAGGGAGGGCAAACTCTGATGTCTTTGCACCCATTGGGGTCCTTGCTGCTGCAGGCACAAGTGCATTCTATGAATGTTCTCTTTGATCTCCCTGGCGGTGTTCTTGCTCGATGTTTTGCCCGTTTTGCTGCCATTCCATCCCGTTCTGTTGTTCATTTTTCTCCGTACCTGTTCATATCTGCCTGATTTGGTGTGAGTGTTTAGCGCAAAACTATCAAACAGTTGAGGGGGAACCCGCAAATATTGAAGAGCCTGCTGTTCCAGTCGCCTGCCTTTTGAAGAGCAAGACCTACCCTTCTGCCATGGTCGTTGCTGCTGCAGACACAATGCAATCCGAAGGTTAAATTTTGTTCCGACAGCACGAGCATGGAGGAGATGGCTAAAGTGTGCACAATGTATTTCTGCTGCCGGGTGACGTTGAGACGTGCAGTTTGACGTTTTGTGTGGTTTTGATTTCCCCCGTGGAAATGCTTTCAGTGGGGCTGCCCTGATCACATCCACAGAACCTGAACGGGGTTCCTGGGAACTCAGTGGTGTTGCTCAGCGTGGAGCCCCACAAAAGGATTGTTGAGCTGAACCGCGCATCTCCCGCTTTGCTTTCATGGGCAGTGTTCCTGCTGGAAAATTTGGTTTTGTTTCGGTTTTGGTACCTTTGTGTTCCTCGCTTTCCTAGTGCTCGGCTTTCGCACTAAGTACCCATGCTTCTTTGTGGAGTGTTGTGAATGGTTAGCGTTTTGCAATACATGAATCAGTGGGAAGGAACCTGCTAGTCATCGATTTTCTCACCAATTGCCGATGCGTGTTTGGTTTGTTGCGATTGTTTGTCCTTCCCAGCATTCCCTCATGCATAGCCACCTCAAATTTGGGCACCTTCCGCGCAGGTTGAGCTCCCTCGTTTTAACGCCGCAGATCTCTCGGACTTGGAAGACCGCTTTTTGAACCGCCGAATCAACAACCAGGTTGACAGGCCTTTTGAGGAAAGAGAGGCGGTTGTTGAGAGTGTTGTGGAGCAAATGGAGGAGATCCAAAGGAAACGGACCAACAAGCCGACGGTCTTGGCCTTGTGGAGCCCGCGGGGCACCGGCAAGACATCGCTCATTCGTCATTTGGCGAAGGTCTCAAACTTTTCCGAAAGTCGACGGTGCGGGCGGCTCTTGGTATTTGATGCGCAAGAAATTTCAGAGTTAGCGTTGCAGGAAGATGCCGGTTGGATTGCTTCTGCCATCGTCGTGTGGCACCTGTCACAGTTGTTGCACGGGTACAGCATTGAAGTGAGTGGGCTCGTGGTGAGTTTTCAGCGCATGGAGTTCATTGCAGTGCTGAAGGCCGTCAAGCGTGCATCGACACCAAATGAGGGACGCAGCAGCTTTGAAGTTTGGCTTCGCTCATTTTGTCAAGAAAGGAAGGATGTCTTCGAGCAGTGGCTTCTGGTGACGGCTGCAGCCTTCAATGCAACACCAGCCTGCCCTTGCTTACTGTTCCTCGATCAGGCAGAGCTGCTTGAGGTCGATGAACTGAGCCAACATCGTGGACAGAAATCGGTCTTCACCCAAATATTGAGCCGATTCCCGCAGAGGCTTGGCATGTTTTCCGCAGGCACAGTCAATATCCTGCAAGATAGGCCATCCGACGAGTACACCATGCTGAAGGTCCAGAAAGCTCCAGCTCTAGAGCCATTGTCACTGCAAGCTGCCAGACGAGCCATGAAAGGCTGGAGGGGTACGCAGTACCAGGAGGAGGAATTCAACAAAATTTACCTCTTCTCTGCCGGGGTACCCCGGCTTTTGGAGGCGGCTTTCCAGACCAGGGTTGAGTTGGCATCAACTGCTCAGGTTGCACTCAACGCCATGTCGAATGAGTTCGAAAGCTCGTACGCGGATGCAGCGCCTTATTTCGCTGAGCCCAAAGTGGCTTTGTCGTTGGTTCTTTGCTCGGCGGTTCGATGGCCTGCAGAAGGCAACCAGTTTGTGCCCGGAACCTCACTAAGGTGGTCAGACATCTTCAGGGCAGCAGCAGCGTTTCCAAAGAACAAGTCCGTGCTGGTTCCACGGCTGTGGTGGTGTAAGGATACCAATGTCAAAGACGCCCTCCAAAACGACTTGAAACAGCGGAACATTTCGTTGGAAGGGCTCCTGCCAGATTTGCTGAATCTCTTGATAGGGCAGAAAAGGGGCGCCACTGAAAGGGGGCGCCCTTGGCAAGAGCTGGTGGCCAATTCCCTGGCTGCGCGCTTCCACCTTCACTGCATAGCAAGAAATCTGAGTGCTAACGTCACCTGGATCCCGTTTTTGGAGATCTACCCTACGGAGGATCTGCACTTGCGAGCTGTTTTGGAGCCGTTCGAAGTTTGCTGGAGTGATGGTGTGGAATACCCGACGGACAATGAAGCTAGTGTCAAAAGCAAGGTCGGGAAGGCCATCAAGTCCAACCGGAATATCAAGAATGCTCACCACGACCTTTTGATCCCTGTCAAGCGGAAGGCGACTCCTATGCTCGAATTCATTGCAGTGCAATGCTGCTATGGGTTGCTGAAGAACGCAAGTCAGCTGTCCAAATCATGCCAGGACAAGACTAGGAAGCCTCGGAAGGGCAGGAAGGGAGCGCAGGGCAGGAAGCCTCAAAAGGAGGAGCACAGAGACGACCTTGCAGACATGGCAAATGCGTTGCTCCAGATTTGCAGCACATGTGAAGACGGCAGACAAAATTTTCAGGACGGCTCTTCCTGGGCCAAACGCCAACAGGAGAAGAGATACTCTCTCATGAGTTGTAGGTGTATAATCTCAGAGATGGACGTGTTGCAGCTGCTGTGAGTGCAAAAGCGCGCAAGAGAGAGCAAAGAAAGGGAAGAGAAGGGAAGGGAAGATTCTTTCCTGTAAACAAGCCTGCTAGTTTCACTCATACTAGACGGATATGTGATCAAGTATGTGTTTCCATGCCTTGAAGACGCTTCAACATGCAGCAACTCGAAGAGGGCCAGCTGTGCTATGTTCTTGGTAATAGTAATTGCTGACGTTTATTTTGATGCAGCGCTTCTCGGATGATTTGAACATATTTTTTGCCACAAGTGCCTCTCAAGAAACGTGGCTCAAATTGCGATTGCAGCAGGTGGTTTTTGCCAGTCGCAATGACGCGATCGGGGAAGGGATATTGTGTTGTTGCGCGGTGACGACAACAAACGCGTTGTGAGGTTCTTGCTGGGGGTTAGCTTCGCCATGTTTGTGGCACAACCCCTTCTTGTGAGGAAGTGCAACGGGACACAACTTTCCAACGTTTTGTCCCAAAATGTGGAACAACAAGCAAAAACACACTTGAGGGCAAGCCCTGTTCAATGAAAGCGCAAGGAACCGCCTTTGTAGCGCCCAACAAGCCGAAGAAGCCGTCCTTGCTATGTTGTTGCATTGGTTGGTTCTTTGCGTATTTGCGGGTTGTTTGGCTGCTCAAGAGAAAGATTAGGGAGAGGAACACCTTTTGCAGATGGTGTCGTGCTGGATTGTTTCCATGGTTCCCGGCTCCTGTAGTTTGAGCTGGCTGTAGGATTGTTGCAGAAGGATGAGCTCATGTGATCGCCAGTGCTGGTGCGTTGGGGTATTTTGACCAACAGGGCAACTCAGTACACAAGTCACTGCAGCTTCTCTTGCTTCCAGCAAACGGCCCAGCTGCAAGCACACTTGCCGTGAAGGCAAATGAGATCGCCCCGCGGAGCTGGCCCATGGTTTCTTTGTCTTGTCAATGCCCCCTCTCCGGCAGGTTTTGCTTTCCAGCCCACTTTTGCTTTTGGTCTGGTCACTGAGAAGGTCACTGAGGTCGTCACTGCCAAGGACTTCAATATCGCTGCTTGCTTGCGACCTTCAGATGGTGACCGACCCAAAAGGTTCCTAGAGCTGGACTCTTGCGTTGATGACCGCATGCAGGCAGTCCAGGACAATCTGCCACTGGTCACAAAGAGTACGAAGCCGCGAGTGCCTCCTGCCATGCTCTCCCGCTGCATGCGCGGCGGCAAGACAACAATGCTTTGCAAGGTCTTTGACAGGCTGAAGAAGGAGGAGAAACTCCCCATTTTCATCAGCTTCAACGGGGATTCGCTCGTCTACAAGCTCGATGGCGAAAAGGTACTGGACACTATGCTGAGGGCCATTGCTGTGAGTCTAATGAAGAACAAGCCCGCAGACAAGAAAGATGCAGAGCGGGTGCGCTGCAGCGAGAAAGCCTTGAAGGCATATCTGGCGGACAAGCAGGACGTCGTCCTCGTCGTGGATGAGCTGAACGTCTTGCTCAAAGCCAATCCAACCGATGGCCACCAAGATGTGGGGAGATTCCTGCGAGAGATGTTCCTTGACCCTGCAGGACGACACCTCGTGTTCAGCACCCACATCCCCACCAGCGCTGGCCTCGATCAAGTCTTGGGCAAGGGCGCAGGAAGCTCTCGTACGGTGATCCCCATAAAAATGCCCAGGTGCGCTGAGGTGCAGAGGCTGAGACGCATGCACCCGAACTGCGCGGCCTTGACGCCGTACTCGGTCAAGACGGGGGGCTTCGACCTTGAAGGGCGGTTCCGGGATATCCTACCTGCTGCAAAGTCGGAAATCCTAGCAGAGTCTTTTCTGTCAGAGTTCTTCATTGGCAAAAGGGGTCCAGACCACGATCCAGTGCGAGCCTTCGATGCCCTCACTGAATCCCCCAAAAAGGGGCAGATCCGGTGGATTCTTGCCTATGTGGGACAGATGTGCTGCCACCTGGGTTGGAAACAGGTTGGTGCATGGATCGAGGAGCTGCCGAGCTGGTCGGGAAAGGTTGAGAGCGGCCAAGACTGGGAGACCGTGTTGCTGGTCGCTCTGTGCCTTCGATGCTATGAGGCCAAGTACAGCGAGCCCCACGAGCTGCTGGGACTGGCAAAAGGGGCTCTGCCCGCCGCGGTGTATGTGGAGAAGGTGCCGCAGGAGAATTCTACCAAACCAACAGTCATGCTGGCCTGGTGGAAGAAACAACGAATCAGAACATACCCCTACATAGCGGTGCTGTCGCCCACTTTTTCTAAAACGGAAATCGTGGACGCCATGTGGATATATCAAGAGAGCGCAACGGCCAGTTGCCTGGTGAGGGGCATGCAAGCCAAACTAGGCAGCGCCTACCCGAAGCAGGATATGCCACTGGGCATGCTGGGCTTGCTGTTCCGTGGCCAGGCACCGGACACCACCCGTAACTTGGAAAGGCAGCGGTGGAAGTATCTAACTGCGAGCGAGATTCAGAGTTTTCTGGGCAAATCTTTGACGGCTGCTTGTCCCGCTCACTGGCCCAACGTGACACCATGAGCCCTGACAGCGTTGTGTCTTCCTTGTCTCAGAGCTTTTTGGTACAGCGTATTCAGTTTCGTGGCAAAGCAGATTGAAGCCAGAGATGTAATCACAGACAAAAGCTTGTCAGACCGCGTGCGTGCCACTGGCAAGCCTGGAGTGAGTGTCATGGGAATGTGGGAGACGTTTTTTCCTTTTGGTATCCTTTTACAACCAACCAGAAACGGCATCTCCAATTTTGAGACAAACCCACATCCAAGTTCTCGGGTCATTTGTTGATCATGGTGAGCAATATTTTTTCCAATTAGCATATTGGCCCCAAGTTGGTACAGTGACAATTAGCCGGCCAGATCAGGGCCTTGGGCATCGTTGATTACACTTGCAGACTCCACCAGCTGAATTGGGGCTAACATGCAGTTTTATTTTCAGGAAATGTTACACACTAAACACCGCCTGATTCCCAGTTGTTCAGTGGCCCTTCAAAAAAACGATTCCGTTTTTTTGAATTGGTGTACATGTTGAAAGGGAAGCAGCCGTAGAAGTACCACTAGACAACTGGAGATTTGTTCGCCAAGATCGCAGAACCAACAGTGTGGTCTTTTCAAAGGGCTGTGCGATTCGGTTCTGGACCCACCAAATAATTGGCCATCCGTGCCCTGATAGTGCCAGAACTTGGGCGGGCCGAGCCAGCCAAAGAGGCTTTGTCCAGCTAGACGCGACCAGCAAATGGGAACATTTTGTCATAGTAGTTAGAGTGGTCCTTGCCCGCGTGTGCATTTAATTTTTGTCCTTCAGTGGTTTGGTCTGTTAACAAACATTCGCAATCGCTGTTGCTCGTTACGAGTTTGACTTTGATCGAGCCCCTCCAACCTTTGTTTTGATCGTCCAACGTCCAGTCTCAGGGGGGGGTGGCAGTAGGGTCTCCCGGCCCTCGGTGCTCCGGACGGTCATTGAGTCCACGGCCCGCAGTTGCTGCATGTCGCTGTACTGTGGGTTGAAGCTCCTCGCCGCGTTCGTTGGTGCTCGGAAAGCCCCTGCGTCCTCCACGGCCTTGATGCGCCGGTCCGTGAGGTCCTTGTTGTGCTGGAACTTGTCGGCGTTCCTGTAGAAGCCGGAGCTCGGTGGCCAGCTGCTTCTCCACATTTTCGGGGGTGCCGTATACCGTCTCGTGTGGCCGGGCGTTGCAGGCCCCCGCGGCGCGCTCAGAGTGGTCGCTCCACTACCCGCGCTTGCGGGCCACGCGCGTGGCCAGGTCCTGGATGCCCCGGTCCACAATGGCCGTACGTTGCGATCGGCGTGGCAAATTCGCTGCCCAGGTCGTTCGTGACCACGAAGTTCTTGTCATCCCCCGGCCTGGCCGACCGTCTTGGCGTTCTTGTTGAGCACAGCCTCCACAGCAGCCTCCCGGATACAGACGTCCATGACCACCAGGCGTACCTGGTCTTCCCTCGGGTGTTCTGGCTGAAGTCGATGAGGGAAGGCGAGTGCAGCTTTGCGACGAGAAGTCCATGCGCGCCGTGCTCCACACTCCCTGCGCGGCCGTGCCGAGGAAGGTGCCGGTGACGCCCGCGTAGTCGTGTCGCCAGTGCGCTGCTGTCCAGCTTCGAAGCCAGCTCTGCAGTGACCCGGTCGTCCAGGGACTGGATGGCAGCTGCGTTGTTGCCGGATGCTGCCGTGTTCACGGCCAGGTCTGCCACTTGCGCGTAGGGCGTCAGAGCGAGGGCCAGCTGCCCTGCGGTGACGTGCGTGCCTTCCGTTACCTCTCCATTGTCCAGGACCTCCGGGATGTTGCCGGTGACTGGTCCTGCAAACATCTTTACATATGTTTTCGCCGACGCCTTAGTCCAGTGGCTAAGGCGTCGGCGAAGGAACTGACCGCTTCTTACTCCGCGCGGCTCAATTCCTGCCCGGACGGCGAGTTGGGTACGGGGCGTTCTTTTTGCTGCCAGGCACGGTCTTGCCAAGGCCGGCATGCAGCTGAAGTATATGGGCAGTGGACCTGCTGCTGGGCGACGTGTCGGTGCTGCACTCGCCCTTCTTCGGTTCCGGAAAGCTAGAGTACTACCTTGCCCGGCGGCGCCCGGGCCTGGAGGTGCGTGGCGCGGACACGTTCGAGCCCGTCGTGAACCTGCACCGCTGCTACTTGAGGCGAGACCCGGTCTTCCTGCTCCCTGGCGCGCCTGGCGGGGCGCGACGTGGACAAGCGCTTCTACTTCACGCGCCTCCTGCCGGGCGCGCTGAGAGGCCCTGCCGGGCGCCGGGCGGCCTGCGCGTACGCCCTGCTGCGCAACAGCTTCTCAGGAAAGTGGGGCTCCTTCGCACGGCAGCAGCAGCCACTGCCTCCGAGCTGCGTGCGGCGGCTGCAGCTGCCACCGTCCAACGTGACCGTGCGGCGCCAGGATGCGCTGGCCTATCTGCGAGCGCTGCCCTACCCAGCGCCCCAGCAATGCATTTACGCGCACCCTCCCTATATTTTCCCCGGTCGTGTCATGAACTACTACGGCGCAAGGGGGCAGGGCCACAACCTGGCCTTCCACTCAAAG